AAATTTAATGTCTTTGATATCAAAATCTTAGACAAATATCTCAATGTTTGGAGATATTTATCAAGGACATAAATCTCAAAGAAAAAAATCCTTAATACACTCTTGTATCACTCAAAAGAACTAGAAAATTACTCAATGATGATATGGTATTAAATTAGAATAGGTATTGCCAAAGATAAGAATATAGAAATGTCTTGAAACAAGACTAAGAACTAGAAAGGCATTGACAAGAGTGAAGAAGGCTTTACTCTTGCTTCCATATATATTCTTAACTAGGAGCTATATAGCGATGTCCTATAGCACCTCCAAAATTTATTGACTTTGCAAGACACATATCTTAACTTGCAAGGCAAATCTTTTTATATATATGCTATATATTTAACTTATTCTATAAGCTATCAATACATGGTTCATTTCTTGAGCAAGTTTCTAACCTACCAATCAACTACAAATACATGTAAAGTCAAAGCAGCATCTATGAAGCTTTTAAAAAACTTCTTTAGAAAATGTTATGAAATAAATCTACTTTAACTTACTTCTACTTAATCATATAGGTAAAAATTAGAATAAATATATATATCCGTCATAATATTATTGTAAATAAGAACCATTCCTAATAATATTCTAAATATTATATTTAAAAGAAGTCACAAAGGTCTCAAATATTTGAATGATCTTTATACCTTAGTGTGGATCAATATTGATGGCTAAAAGAACCTATCAACTACCTTTGGAGGAAATAAAAATTAGAACATGTGACAAAGATAATTTGTGGCATCTTCAACTTTATCAACTTGTGATTACTATTCCTTATGAAAATTATTTTTAGAAAAAGAGCTAATATCACAAATATACATGTTTATCTGAATTAAAGTAATTAAATAGAAATAAATAGAAGTAAATAAATTTTATAATATCTTAAGGAAAACTTTTTAGAAGCTTTACAAATGTGTTTTGACTTTATATGTAATTTTAGGTGATTGATAGATTAAAAATTTGGCCAATAAGTTGGCCATGTGTTGCACATGTTGGCCACTTATAGCAAAATTTTGTTATGTGGCATACATTGCAAACTTATTTTGGAAGTTAAACATATATCTTGCAAATTGGACACCTGCCAAAGGTATTATAGAATATTATCAAGTAGCTCCTAATAAGATAGTATATATAGAAGCAAGAGTAAATCTTTCTTCACTCTTATCAATGTCTTTCTTATTTAGTCTAATTTCAAGAATCTTTAGACTTCTTATTTTTTAGAATGGTCATTCTAATTCTAATATTATGCTACTTTTGAATGAATATCTACTCTTCTTGATTGGCACAAGAATATATTGAATTTTTATTTTTGTGATTCATATCATTGATAATTATACATTATATAATGAAGTTGGTTCTCAAAATTTTAATTAATTATTGGAGATTATTAGTTTTTGGAAGATTTAATTTTAAAAATATATTATATAAATATATAAATATCTATATATAGATATATAGATATATCATTTTTTTTCTAAATGTACTTTAAAAATTTGCCACATAGGAAGTACTTCATAGATTCTAATTTTGTATCTTTGTTTGATTTGCAAGAAGGTATTGGATCCTTTATGTCTGATTTATGTTTGGATGGATTGATTTAATAATATTATTAAAATAACTTAAATAATAAGTCATCCTAAAAAACCAAAAAGTTGACATTTAATTAGGCTTGGATTAGTTGTTTTGGTACTTAAAATTTATAAATTAAAAAAAAAAAAAAAAAAAAAAAAATAGTAGTGGTTGATTAATAATCTAATGCAAAAATCTATATAATAATAATGATTACATTTTAGGTTACGTAATTTAACTTATTTGATATTAATATCTTATCTAAATGCTATGTATTTATAGGTATTTGTATATATTTAGAAATATTATTTTTTTAATAATTCTTATGAATGCATAAGACATTAAAAAATTATTGTGTTATATATTTTTATAATTTAAAATTAATATTTTAGTATGATATTAATTTAATAAATTTTAATGGATCTAAGTTCTTTTATTTTATAAAAATATGGATATTCTATATATATATATATATAATATAAAAATTAATTGATAATAAAATATTCAAATGGTCTTTGCAAGCATTTTTTACCATGTAATTATACTACTTTATCTAAATAATTAAAAGCTTCTTGAAATTTTAGTATTTATTTTTTTTTTATAAATATATATGTATATATATATATAATATAATATACTTAAATCAGATTATTTAAAAAGAAAAAATATTTTTTATAATTAACAAAGCATGATTGGTATAGTTGGCAAGCTACAAAAATATTCTCTTCCATTATATTTGATGAAAAAAATAGATTTTCATAGTAGAATTTAAATTTTCTTATTCATGAATATTCATATTAAATTCTATGAGATAATAAAACTTTAAAAATAAAAACATAAAGAATTAAGAATATTTCAACTATCAAATATAATATTTTATGATGATAGAAGTTAGACTTGATTTAAAATTTCTAATAATAATAAATATTTATAGATTTCTCCATCAAAATATTATCTAATGTTTTAATATTTCATTTCATATGAAGATATACATCAATCTAAATTTAAAGATTTAACTAGATTAAACTTTATTATACAAATGAAGACTTTATATCAAATTATATTCTTTAAGTAAATAAATCTTTTTAGTCAATTTACTTATAGTTTTTTATACTACATTCAACAAATAATAAAATATTCCAAGTAGAGACAAAATCAAGGTTTTTCTACAATCATGGCATAATATTTTGGATATCTTTTCATCTTTTATACAAGTATGAATCATTTCTATGTTGAAAGTTTATAAGATTTTGGTTAAAGTGATGAAAGACATTTTATACACAAAAACTACCAATAAAAATAAAAGAAAAAAGGTGAATTAATTACAAGCCAAAAATTCAATCCCAAATATATTACTAGAAATAATAATAATAATAATAATAATAATAGGACTTATTCTACTAAAATAATCTAATAACTCACATAAAAACATTATTTTTTACAGACTTTTATCAAATCTAAAGAGAAGAATTGTTTAAATATTAAATACAATATTAACTGGAAAAATATGAAATAATGATCTCAAGTAAGCAAAGAAGCTATGTTAATTTAATTCATCTATTATAAAATAGTTGCAGTAAATATTTGGAGGACATAATCTAATAGAAAATATGGAATTAAGAAACATTAATTATAAATAAACTTACTACAAGCTTCAAATATTTATGCACTTGAAAAGTTTTTTGCATGGAAGAAAATCATCTTTACTAAAAAATATTATTAAAATCAAGAAATTTAGAATGATTTAATTAATATTTTAAGAATCATATCTTTGGACAACATAAATGCAATACTTCTACATTTAACAAACTTAGAGTGATTAATACACTAAGAAAATCATAAAAGCCAAATCTTATCAATTATTATTAATTACAATGAAAATCAATTGAGGATAAAATAAAGGAACATCCACATAATGATGCAACTGTTTCATAGGGTTGGTACAATCATGTTCTACATTTAAGATGAAAAGAGCTAAAAAAAAAACAAAAACAAAAACAAAAACAAGATGACTTAATAACTCATGTGTTGGTAGAAATTAACAGCGATAAATGTAGACTAGTAGATACTAGTACTTCACAATCTGCTCTTGTCACAGGGAGTTAGGATTATGGATGCTTTTCGTGTTGTATAACCAAACCACTAATCTAAGCATTTAGTAAACTCCATGACAAAGAAAGATGAATAAAATAAAATAAAATAAAATCACAAAAGTTGATGGTCGGACAAAATTGATCGAATTGTGGGGCATTTTTTCTTTCTTTTTTCTTTTTTTTGTCTCTGAGCTTGGCATTAAGCTGGAGCACTATTCTCAGCACTGTTTGAAGTCGACGAATCCTTTGTTCCTAAAGCATTCAACCTTGAGGAGTAGCATGTCTGGAACCAGCTCTCCATCATGCAAGGAAGCGTCGGAGATCATGTCCACATACATTCCGGCGTGTAATCTTCAACTGGGGCCCTCTCTTAGGGATAGTGCCGGAGTTTCATCTCCGACATCACTTTTTCTGACTCTGCCTCGCTGTTCGCCGTCGTAGCTTAAATTTGGGTGCAGCAGACCTAGGAGCTTCGTGACGAATTTCGACCACAACTACTGCACCATGAGACTCTCTCTCAGCCTCACAGTCCACTACAGGTTAATGTCTCAAGTCCCAGATAACATTGCAACAAGCCAGAGCTGAATTCTACCTTGTAGCGCAAGACAGACGAGAAACTCATGAAGTTCAGTTATGTTTAGTAGGGGGATCTTTAATAACAATTGTTGAACTTCTTCCTGTTCATGTTCTTGTGTTACCTCTGAACGTAATAAAATTCTTCCTTTTTCATGTCGTGAATACTGTGGTTTTGAGGATTGGTGGTCATTTGGAAAAGCAATTTAGCGTGACTGGGCATCCAATTTTGGGTCACAAGTTGGGTAAATAAATAAGTCCACTAAGATCGAATCTAATGAGATCAGAACGGAATCATTAAATCAAAGTTGAGGTTGAGATCAAATACAATCAAATCTATAATCAACATGAGTGAGATCAAGATAAGAAGCATTGAACGAAAGTTGGAAGTGATATCATATCGATGTTCTTAACTAGATTAACTAAACCAAAGTTGAAGACTATTTGGCATTTGGAAATGCATATAGCATTACAAATTAAAATATTATAATAACACTGGTCTTATAATATTGCACCAATGTAAACGTTCCATCCGTGAACAAAGTAGCCTCTGACTAAGGTGATAATTTAAATAAAATACTGTCACACTGAAGACGCAAAATTATATAGAATTTAAGCAAGTTAAAAATGAAAGTGTTTACCATACACCTCACCACAGCAAATCCGTACTATATGACTTCAACAATGAAATCATACCAAACAAATTCGAAGAGGGACGAGTCCGTCGCGTATCAAATTCAACAAAATCCCAATAAAATGAAAATGCTCACTTGATATTGTACAACTTGACAAAAGGAAAGAATCGATCTTCTAAAATAGTTGAGGGAGTGTCAGCTCTGAAAACTCTCGTACACTGAAGCTCTCTTCTTTCACATATGCGGATATTCAATGTTATTATGAACTACGAAATCCACCAAGTAGAAATCTTTCAAAACTATTTTGTTGAGCAAACTCACAGATTAGTAATCAGAACTAGCCAACAAAGCCGTTTGATTACAGAAAACCTGTTCAGATAGCGAATTAAGCAAGGTTAAGTAGAGCAACACCCACGAATGTAGCGGCTTCAAGGGTATGAAACTGACGGCACCAGACTAATGTAGCTTTTACTGCAGAGCAGAAAAAGAACCCACATGTACGCTTGACGAAGAGATCGAGGAAAAAAATCTCAATATCTGGGGGTAACGAACCACTGCTGTAATATGAAATGCAGGCATACGCACATACCCGATCAAAGGAAAGACCGCCGGCTTAGCTCAAGAGAAACTATTACTCCAGCGATTATGAGGCAACTCTTCTGCCTCCCAAGATGCCCGTAGTATTTGTGTAGTAGAAACTAGGGCATTACTTCCTGATGAAATAAACCACGCATTTTAAATTCAGTACCAAATGCAGAACGTTTAAGAAACAATTACAGACAACAGGATTACAAATCATTACAAACAGGATCTACCACACAGTTAGTCCAGACTTGAACTGCATAATTGACATTTCGTACAACAAAAATTAAAAACAGGTAGCATGAAGTAGCAAATACCTCATCTTCATAATCAAATCCATTGCCCTGCCATCAGGTTAAAAAAAGCTCCAGTAAAGTAGAAGAGTCAAACACCACTGCCGGGTGGAACCGCCAGCCGATCGGCCAAGACCTTAGAGTGGCGTAAGATTGCGAAAGTGCACTGGTTCTCGTGAAACTGTATTTAGACTTTAGAACTGGACACAGAAAATAGAACTGGACCTCGGACCTCAAAATACGGCATGGCGGTTCCAACTTCAGGTGCTAAAACTAAAACCATACCAGATAGCGGCATAAGTAAAGAGACATTCAGATTAACATTTCTACTCCCTCTCTCAATGAACATAGAGATTCTCTACTGCCTCCAGCTCATAGTGTGTCGTCTAAACCTACTATATGTTTGCAAAAGAGGTGGTTAAAAAATAACCCCTTCTGCACTACACAGGGATGACCAGTTGCCTTCTAAAAGAACAATATAGACAACCTCTGTGACCAGTCTAGTCACTCAAAATATCAACATATATAGACCACATTGTGTTTCTTATCCAAATCAGCATGCTGAATATCGGATACGCGCCTCTAGATACAAGCCAAATGGAGCTACCCCACCCGACTTTATTCCATAGGAAACAACGCTCCCACTTCTGCAGCTCATGCGATATCTCCTCCAATACAGAGCATCTCGCAGAGTTTGTACTCTTAATCGGTCAGCTTCAAGCAGAAAGCGAAAAGTTTTAGCCTTGTATCCGAAGATGGACCCTCATCACCTAAAAGAAAGCAAAAAAAGATCATCTCCCCCCCTGCATTCAGCTCTGGCTTCATCACCTATACACTGAAGGTAATTTTAGAGCTTCCTCAAACTGACATGAATTCAACGAACATCCTCCAGAAGCACCTCTATTACCACCAAGATTCTTCTTTATCTCACACAGCCATTAACCAAACCGTGCCTTCAACATCTTTGATAGTTGCCACATCCTGTACCTGGTAGAAACCAATAAAGTGCGTAACATAAATTAAATGTGCCAATGGATGATGACTAAAACAATTCAACCAACTCACTGAGTGTAAACTATTCACTAACTATACTGTGCCACATCCCAGAGCAAACAGGACGGAATACATTCTAATTAGTACAAGTTGAACTTACTCATAGTGAAACTTACTGTTCAAGGCGACTGAACCCATGCCAACCAACAAAAATGCTCAAAGGGATAAGAACCAACACCCATTCGCTACAAAAATCAGAAGCCAATAATTACCTTAGCAACTAATGAATCCATACTGTCCACTCCAAACGATGAAAAGTCGAGATTCCGGCCATATCGTTGTTTATATACTCGGTTAAAATCCGAATAATCAATCTGGTAGGAATACACAACTAGAAGCTCCTCCAGCTGTCGCTTGAATACTCGCAAGTTTTCCAGGTGTGTCAACTGAACATCCGGGGCTATGAAGTCGTCCACCTTTATATCATCCTATAGTCCATAATAACACACTATTAATTAAAAATACGTAGATTATACCAGATTAATCGTAAATCCGCAAAATTATTAAAGACATATCCAACCTGCCCTTGAATGCGAACAGAAATATCTGACCAGTAAAACCGAAAGTAGCCGCGTGGGTTGTTAATAATACCCTAAAAAATCACAACACAATGTTGCAATTACCTCTTCGACATCAACGATAGGGACGAATTTTCTGGTATGAACATTAAATTTGACATCGTCCGATGGAGGATTCCAACTAGAAGCACTTTGAACCACAATCGTCTCTTCCATGGTCTCTTCCATGTCCATATCAAGCAGATGTCTCTTGGGGTCAACTGTTCCCACAAATGGGACCTTCTCTGTATCCATTTCCACCTCAAGAAGACTACTTTTGCTCAAAAGATCGTTTGCAAACTCAATTTTGGAGGTCTCCTTCTCAACTTCCTTACTTGGCGGCAGAGCACCCTCAGGCTCAGAATCTTCACCAGCATCCCTGATAACATAAAGACAAAGGTAGTCACAAGTAAGAAAACGAATCCTTCCAATGAAGCCCTATACTACAACAAGCCCATATTACTCTCCAACACTACATGATTTAGCGCCATAACATACTAACAACAGATCAATTGACAGTTTCATTGAAAGAAGAGACCAGTGGTACAGGATCCCACAAAATCAACCATCAGAAGGGAACTTATAGGCATGGATGAAATGCGAACGAAAAGGGAGACATCCTTGCACATGCCTCAACAATATTTTATACGAAAATTCCATGCAGAATGTGAGACACAAAACCAAGGCAGAAAACGAGTACTTGTCTTTGTCGCCCTTAAGAGCAGAAGCACGATTGCTGGAAGGCTTGTACTTATTGGTCACGCGGGCCGGCTCTTTCTTTAATACATGCAAGGTCTTCGATGTACCATCTCCTTTGATAAGCAGTGCATCCTTCATCTTGTCTATAAGATGTACTAACCTCTGTGCGTTGTAATCAGCAAGATAAAGAGGTCGTCCAAAAAGCTTGTTGTATTCGGCAGGCACCTTCGAGAGCATCATCTGCCCACCGTTTTGATTTAAAAGCTGCACAAGCTGCCTCTTCAATCCTATCAAATCACCTGGCGGAGCCCATAGAGGTGAACTTCCATCAGGGCACGTACCCTCCTCAGGATCTCCTGCTTGCACTGCGCTATCAGTAGCAGAAATGGTCGATCTACCTCTGCTATCCACAAATCCTCCAGATACTGGATTCCTCAACTGCCCAGGAGCAGCAATGTGTGGGTTGCGAAAACCTGGACTCAACCTTGGTCCCTGAGGTTGCACCTGGCCCGTCATCACGTATGGCTGGTGCCCGTAGTCCACAGGCTGAACATTATAAAGTGTATTAGATGGACCTCCCCAAGGCAGAATCTCCTCTCCATACACATCCTCATCGATGCGAGGATCTGTTTCCTCTGTGTAGAGGGGCCTCACATACTCTGAGTAGGTATCCTGGAACTGGTTTGCAGGTATTCGATCCACATCTGTAAAAATACTGTTCGGCACCCGGCCCTGGCTGCGATCGTCAACAGGATACATGTTATTAAACTGTCGTCCCTGCCTCTGGGGGTTTTGTAATCCTTCTCCACGACACAGACAGGGCCAATCATACACAAACCGGCCCGCACCCCTCAAAGCTGAAGATACCCCAACCCCATCCGGAATCACAAGAACCACCACATATCCACGCTGGCCAAGCTTGTGCAAAGCAGGAGCGAAATCCACATCTCCTGTAATAAGGAAAATGGTCGATGGAGGAGGGTTGTCAAGGGCGAACAAAAACATGTCCACCAAGATAGCCTTGTCCGCAGCGTCCTTCTTACCGTTCGGCACGTCAATCAGATTCACGCCCGTTCGCTGGCATCCTTCGCGAACCTTTCTGGGAAAGTGATTAAAATCACCGTACGCAGAGAACATAGTGACAGCTCCAACATGAGGGTGCTCCCGCAAAGCAATCCTGATATTGCCGGCAACATCCTCAGCATTCACTTCCCCTGGCACAGGACAATTCTCAATATCCCACAGTATGGCTACAGGACACGAATTGGGCTGCACCGGAGCTGCAGCTCGAATCTGTTGCTGCATGGTATTCGCTCGATGTTGTTGCTGAGCTCGAGCAATTGCAGCACTGTCCATCCCCGGTGGCTGTCTAGACGGCGTCAAGGATCGAGAATAAGACGCCATTGTGTAATGCAGAAGCCCGGACAGAGTGATATGAAAGCCCCCTTGATATGATTCCAGCGAGGAGTACCAGCCGGTTCAAAAGTTCGGGACATTCACTATGCCCCGAACCCACCAAATAACCGACCCACGGAGTAATCAACTAATCCCACCTTCCCCTGTTCTTACAGCTACTTCCAAGTCTCCACTTCACTTATTTATCCCACCACTTTCACCCTGTGCCGTTCGCCCTCATCACCTGCTACACATAGCCAGCAACTCGTTAAACATGTTGAAGGGTTTATTCAGAGCAATTCATCTCTGGTCTAAGCCACAGAAAGAAGAGCGAAATTCTCTTTATTTCAAATGGCAGGTCGGGTTCAAATGTGCAACAAACACGAAAATAAGTTTCTCTTGTCACAGGATCGATTATCGCCGCATGATCTTAGGTAACGATGACTTGTACAAAGAGGGAATACAGAAACCACAGTCACAACAGCGAGAAAATGTGTGAACAAGGAAACATGGACTTAACATGCAGTAGTTTTGCCCAGCAAAAATACTATACCAATGCATCCAACACATGACAGCAGTGAAACAGGTAACGCTAGTAAAGATCATAAAACAGACGCATGTCTGAAAAGAGTGAGTTAAATAGTTGATCACAATCAACTGAAAAATAACCACCAGAAGTCGGAAGAGATCGCACCCAAACTTTTGGTTGATTTCCTATCGGGGGAAGTTTTAAAAAGTCAAGAGTCTCCATGTACCAGATCCCAACTACGCTAATTGCACCAAAACCCAGAAATTGAAATTGAAAAAAAACAAACAAACAGCTCGGAACTCTCTCCCCAACTCACCGATCGCACCCAGACTTCCAAACGCCCAACACAAACCATTCAAACCCAAATTAGCCACCAACTTCACTCGCAAACTGATTCCCACTCAATCATCACCCTGATTCCATAGAATTCGACTCGAACATCCTCTTCGACACCCTTAATCGACCTACATCTCTGATCTCCGAGCATCATGGTAACAATTGGACCCTCGGCTGAAACGCTTCAAAACCTCACTAACCAATCTTATCACACACACACACACACACCTTCCTAACAAGCCGTGCTCGGATCCCAGCTTTCACGGCCACGAAGAGCGACAATCTCCAGAACGCAAATCCTTGCCGCGCCATTCATATTCTACACACTAGTAGCGGCATAAGGCTCCCGACCTAGCCCCCACCACCTGCCGGCTTGTTCACCGTCCAGGCGCCGCAATTGGCAACCACCCACGACGCCCCGCATATCAAAAGAAAGCGCAGCGAGGAAGCAAGAGGACTGCAGGTATACCTGGCGCAATCGATGCGCGAGCACACTGCCAAATTCCCAATCGTCTCCCCCGTCCCCTCCGCTCCTCGTAAAACTCCTCCACCTCACGGCACCAGCAGCACCTCCACCTCCATTCCCAATGCACAGCACACAGGCCGCTTTGGGAACTCCCTCGGCCCCTTGTTGCTTTCCCACGCTCCCCCGTTCCCTTCTCCCGTTCCCATGTCGGAACCGTCCTTGCGCACACGTTCTCGACCGACAGGCGCCCGCCGTTGGATCGGGTCCTTGCGTCAAGACCGGGTCGCCGTCGATTCTGAGTAGGCGTGCCACGGTCGCATAAGAGAGAGAACGCGGTCTCCTCCGCGCGTTTGGATGAATGAAGTTTACGAGCAGCAGAAAGGATATACTGGTGGGTGGATGAATGATACTTCAAGCTTATCTTGTTGCAATGTTCCCACTTGGTTTTTTCTATGAGCACAAGACTCATCTTCTGCACACTAGTCTAATGGCTGCATCTCAAAATTACTGGTAAACAACAGAAAACCCACATGTAAATATTTGGTCTTTCTCCTTATAGAATACTTATAGAATGGTCATAGGTGTGAACAGGAACAGATCTAATAATAATAATAATAATAATAAAAATGCTGTTATGTGCTCGAGGGAGGGGTTGTACAAAATGAGCTGGAGTCAAGCCGCCATTTGACTACTACAAAGTATATATTGTAGCCCACTGTTCTGATTAGCCCCGTGTGAACAGAGTTTACCACCTTCGGTCTCCCTAAACTTGTATTCTAGAGTACGAAAACACTGTAAACAAGTGGTGGTGTAAAAGCACCTTAAATTGGTTTCTGAGTATTTATTTACTTGCCTGTATATCTGTCTGTGGGTGTGTACAGTTTTTAACTAATTTGGATGGTTTTTGCTTTAATTTTCTGCAGAATTGGTAATTATTGATGTACAGAAACTTGGGTAAATAAAATAAGGCTATTCTTCCACTGTTCTTTCTAGAATGTTAACAAAATTGCCATCAATTAGAGATCTATATTAATTTATAATGTGCTTGGGATTATACCTCTTTTTTAAGTATATGAACATATATATATATATGTCATGAATTGTTGTATGCTAGCAGGTGTTTTAAAAAAATCAAAATCAAAATCAAAATCAAAACAAAACAAAAAAAATTGTGAACTATGAATCAAATGCAATGGAATAGCCTGGTTACACAAAATGCAATAATAATTTCAACTTATGAAACCATTAGACTTATGTGGGAGGCATTGAAAGAATTGATAACAACAATATTATTGCACTCAATGGCATGATTTATATTTTGGAATTCTCAAAACATAATCTTTTAAATCTGTACATATATTAACTCCATTACTGACTAAGTGCAGAAACTTTTTACACTTGATTAAATTAATGAATGTTTATATCTCAACTAAACATAGGTCTTCTAATTATATGACTGATCTTTGAAATGGTGCTTGAATTCCATTTGAATCCATTTTAAATCTACCATAACTAAATAACTCTGTCAAATTATTGAAACAGATTTGTGCAAATCATGTTCAAAATGCTAACTAAGTATCCAAAATAACTGTTAGAGCTTGTCTATGCTTAAAACAAATAAAATGGATCCTTCTCCATGTGCATTTTATGTTCATATTTATATTTTTTGTAACAAAACGATCTAGTTTACTATGATTAATATATAGACTTTGTCACCAAGTTGATTTAATCAAAACTATTATTTGTTTAGATTTTCCAATATTCTATGGATTAATGTGAATCATTAAGGGTGGTAAATGATAATTTTGAACTTAATCAACTTATAAATAGCTGATTAATATGTATATATATATATATATATATATATATAGATGTAATATGTTCTTGAAGTTTTTAATGGATTTGGATGCTCTCAAACAAATGATAACTAATATCTTTTTTGAGCTTTTTGATAACTATGTTATCAATTACCATAAGGAATAGTTTAATGTATTATAAAATATTAATAGATAAATCTTATTTTACAATACATTAATTTGTGAAATCTTGTATTCTAATAGTTTTAATACAATTTAAAAGTGAGGTTATGTGTAATTAATAAAATAAAATAAAAACTACTAAAAAATCTAAACTAATTTAAAGAAATTTTTAGATCATTTATTTAAAAAGGTTATACATGTATGTATATATGTATATAAACAAACAATTCCTACACTAGATTTTTTCAGAGATGTTTTGGAATATTTTGACTTCTTATGACGGTATCATAAATAAATAAATCTGGGTGTTTCTCTACTTCTAATACATTCATAAATTGGTGGCTTTATACAACAATAATAATAGTAAATCAAGCAGTTCTTACATTGATTGTGTTTTGGGTTTGTTTTGTAGAATTTTGATGTCATACATGTGCCTACAATGTGACAATAGTTGTTAAAAATATGTTAAGGGGAAAAAGTATTATCATTAAACGTGGTTCTTTTTTTGACATGAATAATATTTGCACAGTATTAGAGCACCACTGTGTTCTTACACGTTGGAAGTGTGTCGTTATTTTCTACTCTTATATAGAGAGAGATGGCATTGAGATTTTTCTATTGATATTTTTCGTAGCATAATTTATAAAGAACATATACATATCTTTAAATGTAAGCATGATCAAATAGCCTGTACCTTTTGTTTAAGATTCTTTTACAATTAGATTTTTTTACATTTTGAAAGCAAACTAATTTCATTATAATTCATATATATATATATATATATTACTACGAAGTTATTTATTTGCTAAAAGACAATACAGCTCCTGACAAACAATTGCTGTAGGAATAGGTGTTTCAATAATTATCTAGATATCTAATTAGTTGAACTCCTGAAACTTCAGTTGAAACATTTAGAAAGAAACTAACAATAATAATAATAATAATAATAATAATAAATCTAATTTCAAAACCAGTTGCACTTATTGTAGTATGATCTATTAAGGACGTTTTCTAATAAAATTCTTTTTGTTTCAGGTATACAACATCAGCAAATCATATTTCTATATTTTTTTCTAAAATCTTTTGTAAATCTCAAGATTGTTTTATGATAATTTTGAAGTCTTTCAAAGATATTTAAAGATAATCCTTACAAATTTTTATTAAAAAATAGCATTTAAAAACTTTTATTGGTTAGTTATTTAAATCAAAAGTGTCCTCAATATTTTTTGCATCAGGTCAATGGAAGTTTAGACAACAAAATTGGAGTTTTTCAAGTAGTTTTCATATGAGAAAATGAAGACCATTTTTAATGATTTATTATTCTGATTAAAATCATATTCAACGTATGGTTCATGGGCCATTTTGTAACTTGTATTCTTTTGAGCTTGTGTATATATAATTATTAATAATTAAATTAGTAAAATTCATTACTTTTTATGGAATTTATTATTTCATATTTAAAATTTTATTCTCTAATTGAAACCAAAAACACACAAATAAGCAGGGTCATAATATCGGTGAGCACACATATTTCTTCTAATGTATTCTGCAGCTGATTTTTGTTAAGATTTATTAAAAAGACACACCTGTAATTACATTTACTTTTAATATTTTTATTTTCTTCAGTTATTTTAATTCTTCAAATTTTTGTTTTACTTTTTTTTGCTATTCCCTGAATTTAATGAAATCATATGCTTTTTAAAATTATTAAGAAATCTCAATAAATGTATGTATGTATGTATATATATATATATATATATATATATATCATTTTGTGTTTTACTTAGCAACTTTTTAAGCAATTAAAGAACCTAGACCTTACCCATCCATGAGTTTCTACAATACAAAATTCAATGTACTGTATTTGAAAAAAATCTTTAAACACCACCAATGTTATTTGTATTTTTAGTGTAAAATTGTTCTCAATACTTGACACTTAAGGTTACAGATAGATTTCTAAACCCTTACGTTTCTATTCACCATTTTGGAGGCTCTTTGAATGGGTCAGAGCTTTTTGATAGGAGCCTCCCAAAACCCTTGGCAAATTCCCATTTTTTGCAACAACACCTTGGGTGTTGTATTGTTGTGTATTAATTTCAGACTTCATTTTAATATTTCGTTAAGGTGTTTAATATCTAATAGAAATGGTGCCACATCATACCATATGCTATGAAGCAATACAAAGATGACACTTTTGGTTGTGAATCCCGAAAACCTTGACTTCATTTTACAACTCTATAGGTTGAAAGCCGAGTGGGTGGGGACAATTTGGTCAGCAAAGGTGTAAATTGTTTTTTCTTGGGAGCTGGAATGCATGCCCCAATTCAGAAAACAAAGCTGATTAGGTTCAATGGGCAATGAATATCCAATTGTGGGCACAAAGATATGATGTAGGAGCATATGTCGAGGTTGGGAGATGTTTCAAACCCCATTTTCCATGTGGAGTATTTACATAAGAACAAAATTATGAGATTATTCATTTGGATGTTAATGTTCACACTCTTTTAACTATTTAGTTGGTAGTATGTTTGGCAATTATTTTGATGTGTGGGAAACATGTTTTTATTTTATTTTATTTTATTTTTTTATACTAATTCCACAATATATTTTTCAAAAATCAGTTTAGTTTTGAAATGTTACCTTACCTAGTTATTACATGTAATACTAAAATGATTGATTCTAATAGTATTTAATCTTCTTAAAAAAAAATTGGTAAAAAAAGATTTATTTTTTTGGTAAAGAAAGATTATTGTAGTTTTTTTTTTTTTTTTTTTTTTTTTTTTTTTTACTGTTCACTAATTATCCTACATAGCACATAAACAACTCTAAAGATCGCAATCAAAGAAGTCACAACAAACAAAAATATAATTAAATTCAGGATTATTCAAGTTAGATGATTAGTATTTCATTTCTAGGTTTACAGTAACGGAGTATGACAGATCAGAAATAGATGATTATTCTTAACGCGAATGTGCAAACTGCGTTTGTTTCACTACATGCAGCAACATCCATGAGCAGAAGGTGTTCAGCAAAAGCAAAAGCAACGAATCAAGCTCTCATCGCCG